GAGTCAAACTGAAACCCTTCCTCAGAGCCTTGCTGAGCACCATGGGGACTGGAGTTCACCCGCATCCCCTCTCCAGGGCTACGCAGAGCACCATGGGGACTGGAGTCAAACTGAAACCCTTCCTCAGAGCCTTGCTGAGCACCATGGGGGCTGGAGTTCACCCGCATCCCCTCCCCAGGGCTACACAGAGCACCATGGGGACTGGAGTCAAACTGAAACCCTTCCTCAGAGCCTCGCTGAGCACCATGGGGAGTGGAGCCTCCCTTTAACACCATGGACATTGGAGTTCGCCCGCACCCCCTCCCCAGGGCTACGCAGAGCACCATGGGGACTGGAGTCAAACTGAAACCCTTCCTCAGAGCCTTGCTGAGCACCATGGACATTGGAGTCAAACTGAAACCCTTCCTCAGAGCCTTGCTGAGCACCATGGACATTGGAGTTCACCCGCATCCCCTCCCCAGGGCTATGCAGAGCACCATGGGGACTGGAGTCAAACTGAAACCCTTCCTCAGAGTCTCGCTGAGCACCATGGGGGCTGGAGTTCACCCGCACCCCCTCCCCAGGGCCCTGCAGAGCACCATAGGGACTGGAGTCAAACTGAAACCCTTCCTCAGAGCCTCGCTGAGCACCATGGGGAGTGGAGCCTCCCTTTAACACCATGGACATTGGAGTTCGCCCGCACCCCCTCCCCAGGGCTACGCAGAGCACCATGGGGACTGGAGTCAAACTCAGACCCTCGCCGAGCACCACGGACATTGGAGTTCGCCCCGCCCCCGCACTGACCGGCGTGGTGCTTGGCCAGGCGCACGATCTCCTCAGGCTCGAACTCGAAGCGCCGCGAGGAGGTCCAGCCGCGCAACGTCTGAATCACCAGCGCCACCGCCGCCACCGCCAGGCCCAACCGCAGGCCCCGACCGGCCCAGCCCCAGCCCCAGCCCGGCCCGGGCAGCCACCGCATCTTCCCGCCTCTTCTTCCCGCCGAAGCCGCCGCCGCTGAGGGGACGCGAGAGAAGGCCTCAGTAAGGAGGAGGGGAGGGGCGGCCAAGGGCACGCCGCGCGCGCTGGCCAGCCCCGGCCAATCGCCGCCCTGACGTCTCCCGACGGAGCCAATGAGCGCGGTCGCCAGCGGCGGTCGCCTCCGCCCCCCCCCCCCGCGCTGCTCGCGTCATGCCAGGCCGCCAATCGGGCGCGAGGCGGAGGCGTCGCGCTTCCTCCATCAACTCCCCCCCCCCAAACTCTCTCGAGGTCACGTGGCACCGGTCACATGATTGCGGGGAGGCGGAAGGCATGGAGGCGGCTGCCAAGTTCCAGCCCAGCGGTACCAACGCCGCCTCTCCCCCCCTCCCCGCGCCCCTCAGGGGAAATTCGAGGGCGGGGAGGGGGGCGCTATCTAAATTGAGCAGGCGAGGGGAGGGCTTCCCATGAAAGGGGAGCCTGTTGATAGGCGGAGGAGAGGAGGAGGGGGCGGAGACTGGGAAGGGGGCGTGGCCGTCTTGCCTAGGGGAGAGGCGGAGCCTGTCCGGGAGGGGAGGGGCATTCTGGTGGGGAGGGCGGAGCGAGTGGATCTGGGTTTTCAGAGGCCTATTGCTGAGGAGTGGGCGGGGCTATCCTATTGGGGCGTGGCTTATGCCTGTAGAGGAGGGATTAGTCCGCAGGGGTGGGGCCTTACTGGGCGCAGGGCTGTGCTGAAGGGGCGGGGCCTGTTGCTGGACAGGAGGGGCAAGGTTATTCTGGATGGGCGGGGCCTGTTGCTGGGGAGGAGGGGCTATCCTGGAGGGGCGGGGCCTATTGGTAGATAGGAGGAGCTAATCCAGAGGGGTGGCGCTTTACTGGGCGCAGGGCTGTATTGAAGGGGCGGGGCCTGTTGCTGGACAGGAGGGGCAAGGTTATTCTGGATGGGCGGGGCCTGTTGCTGGGGAGGTGGGGCTATTCTGGAGGGGAGGGGCCTATTGGTAGAGAGGAGCATGTCCCCCCCGCCCCCTGCAGGGCCCTTGATCACCTGGTGGGCCCCCTTCCAGCCTCACCACCCGCATCTCTTCCCCAGAGCATCAGCACCTACGCTATAACCCTCTGCGGGAGGACTGGGTGCTGGTTTCTGCCCACCGCATGCGGCGCCCCTGGCAAGGGCAGCTGGAGAAGCCGCCCGAGGAGGACACCCCACGCCACGACCCGGCCAACCCCTTGTGTCCCGGGGCCACGCGGGCGAACGGCAAGGTGGGCAGCCTGGAGAACAGAGGGCAGGGCCGTGGGGGTCTCTGCTCCCTCCTGACCCCATCTTTGGATTTTGTGCCCGGAGTTTGCTTGCTCCTTTCTCCTTCTGGGGCTTCCTTCCTGGGAGGACCTAATCCTGGCATCTGGGTGGTCCCCTGAAAGATTTTGGAGCTTCTATCTATATCAAAGCGAAATTCCACTCATGCATCATCACAAAATCTCCAGAACTGTCAAGCCTACAAACTTGAAATTTGGCCCGTATGTTCCTCTTGGCTTCCAGGGGTTCACTAAGAAAGGATTTTCTGAAATGGCCATCAAAGCATTAGTATTTCCTATATTATTATTATTAACACGCTCTGGTGCTAAGAAGTTCTACTCCCCCTTCCCACCTGAAAAGAAACCTCTTCCAAATGCAAAACACAAGCAGAGGAGAGGAGGTTCAGTTTCACAGCAGCAAGCAGCTTTAGTCCAGAACAGTTGAGCTAAGCCATGCCCAGACTCCTAGCTGTCTACTTTCTCACACAGCGATTCCTGTTTCAGTTTCCAAACAACCCTCGAGTCTCTCACACACTGACAGGACGTTAGCCAGATGAATGCTGATGGAGGCTGGTAGGCAGAGGCAGAATTTCCCCCCTTATTTTCCTCCCCAAAAACTAACCCTGACCACGTAGTTTCATTGTGAAGCATGGGTTTCGAGCTTGTTTGATTTATTAGGTAGATTTTTATCCTGTATTTATTATTTTATACATAACAGTATTTATTATCTTAAAATAGTAACGGAGGTGGTGAACATATCGAATAGAATCATGGGAATTGTAAAACTGGAGGAGACCTTGATGGTCTTTTAGTCCAGCCCCATAGTTCAACCATCCTTTCCTCCTCCTATTAGTCCCATAATCACCACCCTGCGAGGTGGGCTGGATTTGCTGTCCTGCCTTAACTGGGACTAGAACTCGCAGCCTCCTAGTTTGTATAAGCCAGCCTTTGACCCACATCTGTATGATGATGATGGTGCCGGCATACATGGTAAGTGCTTGCCAGAGATGAGGCTGGAATCATAGAGACCCATGGTACTCTGCAAACATCATAAATATCAGCCAGTTGCCCAGTGTCCAAATTTTGTTCAAGTGGCCATGAGGATCCTGCAATGGCCGTAAGTATGAAAAATGGACATAAGTCACGTTCATAAGTGCTGTTGTAATGTTGAGGGCGATCATATTCAAAAAGGAGAAAAAAATAGTTGGTTATAGGATGAATACCTCGATCTTTCTATTTGTCTCATGCAGGTCAATCCCCATTACGAGAGCACATTCGTCTTTGACAATGATTTCCCTGCATTGCAGCCAGATGCGCCGGAACCTGGTAAGAGTTCCTTTCGTCTTGACTAAGCCATGAATGTTGGCTTGGTGGTCCGAGGGCCCTGGGTTGCATGATCTCTCCCTGTCCTTCAGAAGTTACAGGGAAATTGTACTTGAAATGAGACTGAACAAAAAACTTCAAATTATTTTATACATCACATTTATGTACCTTTTTACGTGCGTATGTGAGAGAGAGAGGAGAGAGCAGATAGAAAGAGAAGAGAAAGGGGAGAAAGAGAAGAGAGAGATAAAAAGAGAGAAGAGAGTAAAGTAGAGTAGAGAGAGTACAGAGAAAGAAAAGAGCAAGGAGAACAGACAAAAGAGGAGAGGAGAGAAAGAAAAGAGCGAGGAGAGCAGAGAGAAAGAAA